TTTTTTTTTTTTGTCATTGTGTGTAATTTCAGTTATATCTACACTATTTGTAATGAAATTTTGTTCACAGTGTCTTGTTTTATACCTAAAATTTGACTGTTAATATTTTCCTTAATCGATTCAATATCTTCATTAAAAAAAGTTCAGTGGTTGCATTAGGTTCGGCATTATCCCCCCCAATTGTATCCTCACGTTGTCGTCGTGGGGGGGCTTGCGCGGGTCAGTGATCTCTGAGGCTATGCCGGTAGAGTCACTCATGCCGGATTGGCTCAGAGGGAGACTCCAGACTAAAAGGATACTCGGTGGGGCCCTTCCTGGGTCACCGATAGTTGCTCCACTGTTCAAAGTGGAGGAACGACGACGGGTTCGGTGAGCACTTACTCTGCCACCGAGCGGGCAATGGGGACTGTGTCTCCTTGCCGCCGTTTGCACATCGTAATCCCGTAGGTAGGAGTGTCGTGGTTATGTCTCGCAACTCTCATCGGGGGCGAGGGTCTTGGCTTAGCCGCCCGGACTGCGAGGTCTTTACTCCGAATCCCGTGTTCTAGTGCGTGGCCAGGGGATGCATGGCTGATGGGTAGTTCAGTCGCAAGCGCACTCTCAGCCGGGGCACCTGCGGACCCCTCGGTTGGGTATAAATCTACGCTTGCCCGGGTATTGGGGGATCTCTGCCCGGGTCGACCTTTATTTCTCCCCCACTCGTGGGATTAATTATGGAATCTGTTACAAAAAACATAAAAGAAACTGGAAAGAAAGGAAGGAAGGAGAAAAGTGGAAGAGTGGATGACTTCTCGTCAAACGAGGAGCAATTGTTGCTCGTGACGTCTATCACCGAGCGGCTCCCAGAAGTCAGTCTAACTCCTGGGAGCCGAAGAACTTCGGAACGTCTGCGTTCCATAGAAATGGAGCTGGGCGACAGCCGGAAACGCGGACGCTCCAGGGATGAGGAGAGCGACACTTCCCAGGAGATGCTGCCTCCCAAAGTGGCAAGCAGCCGTAGAGGGAGGCCACGAAAGCCGGTTTCGGCCCCGTCGGGCTCCATCTTCTCCAACTCGGAAGCCTACAGACGAGTCAGGGTAGACGGCGAAAACGCAGCGGAAGAGGAGATTGCAGATCTCCTGTCTAAATTTAAGGAGCCGACGGAAGGGGGTTCTGTCCCCCTAACAGCATCGGCCATGCAGGAGAGAGCGCGAGCGGCGGTGGCTATCATCCACAAGGTGGCCACCAAGTCGAGTAACCTTAAGGGTTCTTTTGTGAGAGCCCTTAAGGACTCCTCTTCCGCTGTCGCTGGGGTCGTGGAGACCCTTATTGGCGACGTGACGCGTCTTCAGGCGGCTAATGACCGCCTGACGGAGGAGGTGGCGAAGCTCAGCGCTCAGTTTGCCCAATTTCGGGCGGATCGCGCTGAGCGGGAACAGCCGGCTTCGTCGCGGCTTGTCCTTACTCCCAATCTCGGGGGCCTCCCTGATGCCCACCTGCGCCAAATTACTGACGCAGTGTGGCGTATGATGGACGGGCGTCTTGCCGGCCTGGAGGCGAGGCTGCCACCAACCCCCGTTATTCGCCACTCGCAGGAGATAGACGCAGAGTCGCGTCGACGCCGACTTCGCCTCCCGTTGCGGGCGGTCGCGTGTCATATGCGGCATCGGCGTCTGCTCCTGCTGCTGCTCCGTGGGCAGGACAGGCGGCCAAGACAGCCGCCAAGACGGCTGCATCGAGGGTGGGGCCTAAAACGTCGGCAAAGGCTGGAGCGACATTACCTCCGCTTCCCACTCCAACACCTACACCTGGCCCCTCTACATCTGCCGCCTCAACCGATGGTTGGCAGGTCGTCAGGGGGGCTAAGAAGTCCCGAAAGCGGGGTAAAAAGGCTGCCCAAAAAGCAGCCTCTACCCCGGAGTCGCCATCGGTGTCCGTGGCCACTAAGAGAAAGCCGCGCAAACTCCAAATCCGCGGCTGTGGTGGTCACCGTATTAATGGAGGCGGCTAACGATGGGCCCGGGACAGTCTCGTACAAGATTTTGGGACAGTAGGTGTCAGAATGCGCCTCGCCCAGACGGGAGCTCGAGTCCTCGAGGCGCGGAAAACTCTGAAGCTGGCCATTAGCCGCGCCAAAGAGATAAAGAGAAAGGAGATGCTGGAGGGTCTCGATCGTGACCCCTGGGGCCGCCCTTATCGCGCGGTGCGACAAAAGCTCCGCGCGTCGGGCCCCCCCCCCCTTACGGAGACTCTCCAGCCCAGCTTCTTGCAGGAAGTGGTGGAGGGCCTATTCCCGCAACGGGTGGAACACACACCCCCGTCGATGGTCACCTTGGCCGTCGACGACGGAGAAAACGTGGATGATGTTCCGCCCGTCCGGGATTCGGAGGTAGGGGCGGCTGTTCTACGGATCCGTTCTAAGAACACCGCCCCTGGGCCAGACGGGATACCGGCCCGAGTACTGGTCCTAGCCCTTCACCACATGGCAGACCGCCTCAGGGAGGTGTTCGACGCTAGCTTGGTGTCCGAACGTTTTCCTGAGTGCTGGAAGAGCGGGAAGCTGGTCCTATTGAGAAAGCCGGGACGGCCTGACGATTCGGTCGCGGCCTACAGGCCCATTGTGTTGCTGGACGAGGCGGGTAAATTGTTTGAGAGGGTGCTCTCTGCCCGCATCTTCCGCCACCTCTATGAGGTGGGCCCGGACCTGTCGGACGCCCAATTCGGTTTTCGAGTGGGGCGTTCGACGGTGGGCGCTGTGTTACGCCTGAGGGCCGTGACCGAAGATTCGGTGAGCTGTGGCAGCGTGCTGTTGGCGGTGTCATTGGACATCGCCAACGCATTCAATAGTCTGCCATTCAGCTGCATCAGGGAAGCACTACACTTTCATGGGGTGCCCAAGTACCTGAGGCGGCTAGTGGCAGACTATTTAGAGGAGCGTACCGTCGAGTACGAGGACCGAGCTGGCAATCTGAGGTGTCGGCCCATGTCGTGCGGTGTTCCACAGGGGTCTGTTCTTGGACCCCTCCTGTGGAACATAGGGTACGACTGGGCCCTTCGAGTGGAGTTTCCCCCTGGGCTGGGTGTAATTTGTTACGCCGATGATACATTGGTCACAGCCCGGGGGGCAAACTTTCAAGAGGCGGCGCGCTTGGCCACCAGGGGAGTCTCTCTGGTGGTCGGGCGAATTGAGGCGCTGGGCTTACGGGTGGCCCTGGATAAGACGGAGGCCCTCTTATTCCATGGGCCCCGTCGTGGTCCACCCCCCGGCGCCTCAATCGTGGTCAACTCGGTCCTCGTACCGGTTCGGGCCCAGATGAAATATCTGGGCCTGATCTTCGACGGGAGGTGGCTCTTCGCCGAGCACTTCCGACAGCTTGCTCCAAAGCTGGTCAACGCTGCGTCTGCCCTTGGGCGACTTCTACCCAATCTCGGTGGACCCAGCGTCGCAACGAGACGGCTGTACACGGGGGTTGTCCGGTCAATGGCACTGTATGGTGCACCGGTGTGGGCGGCGGCTCTGACCGCTCAGAATAGGGCACGCCTCTGGCGACCTCAGAGGATATTGGCGGTTAGAGCCATACGCGGTTACCGCACCGTTTCGGCGGAAGCGGCGTGCGCGTTGGCCGGTACTCCCACGTGGGACTTGAAGGCGGAAGTGCTCGCCGAAGTATATCGGCGGACGGCTGGTTTCCGGGCGGATAGTGGCAGTCGGCCCCCGCCCGAAGAGATAAGCGGCCGCTCGCCGCGCCACGATGGCTCGTTGGTCGTCCCGGCTGGAGGCTCCACGTGCTGGCTTTGCCGCCTTGGAGGCGCTCCAGCTGGTCATCGTCGAGTGGGCAGGGCGGCAGCACGGGACCCTTTCCTTCCGGCTGACGCAGGTCCTTTCCGGGCATGGCTGCTTTGGGAAGTACCTGCTAGGTTAGGTCGCTAGGAGGGAATTGAGTCTCGCCTGTCACCACTGCGATTGCAGTAAGGACTCGGCTTAGCACACGCTGGCCATTTGCCCGGCTTGGGGTCAGTCATCGGGGAGGATCTCTCGCTACCGGCCGTCATACGCTCCATGGCCGGTAGCGACAGATGTTTTACCGCGGTCGCATCCTTCTGCGAAGACGTCATCTCGCAGAAGGAGGGGGCGGAGTCGGCCCGGGAGGACAGCCTCCACTCGGACCCAATCCGTCGCCGGCGAACCGGACGGCGGAGGCGCGCTTATCACCGCCTCATGCTGCCATGAGTGTGGCCGCGGGTGGACGGGACGGGTTTTCCCCTCCACCTGCCATAACGGCCAACCGCGAGGAGGCGACGTCCGCGTGTGCCGGACGTCGCCTAAATAGAGAATGTACCTGAAGGTGGTGCCCGCATCGTTGCGGGCAGGCGCTAGGAGGGGTCCGGAGGTCCTAATAACAGCAGTTCCCGGATCCCTCCTATTACAGGCGCAGAGTGGCACACCGTGTGGTTTTAGTCGGTCCGATTCCAACACCACCCCGCCGTAAACCTCGGTGGGGTGACGGTGACATTTTGTACAATTTCACCAAGCAATGTTCATCAACCAGAAGCTATATGGGCTCATTTAATACCAATACTCGAAGTAACCAAAACATTTATACCTAACCTTAAAAATCTATATATTTTTTCTGATGGACCAAGTTCTCAATATAAGCAAAAAAAGAACTTTTACCTTATCAAATATTATGCCGTTTTATACAATATTGATATATCATGGTCCTTTTTTGAAAGCGGCCACGGAAAAGGCGTGGCCGGTGCCATAGGCGGTGTTGTCAAAAGAGCCTTAGACCGTGAAGTATCCTATGGTAAAGATATTCAAAAAGTCTCCGATGTCTACTCGTCTTTAGAACAGACTGTACCGTCAGTAAAATAATAATAATAACATTTATTTCATGGTAAAGTTTTACTATGAAAAATGTATTTACATCAGTGAAAATTAAATTGATGAAGTTCGCAAATTAATAACAACTTCTCTGAATGCTGTTCCAGGTACTATGAGTATCCATGAGGTTATAGCCATGAAAAGTAATGATAAATTAACTTATCATCGTCCATTAACTTGCTTTTGTAATGGTTTTATCTGCAATTGTTTTGATGTGAAAACGCACCAATTCGAAACAGTTTTTACTGAGAAGCCAACGGATCCTTCAACGCCTGCTAACACCGATCTTTCATGTTGCGATGACTTGTTTTCTGTTAAGGATTTATTATTAGATGAAAATGTAGCTTTAAATGAAGATATCGAGTGCGTATCTATCGATGAAAATTTTAGCAGTCAAGTTATAGATATGGAACAACATATTGAAGATAATTTAGCCACAAAAATAACTGTTGTTAATTAAAAGATTGACAGCGTACTTACTAACGAAAATATTAATAGTCAAGTTATAGACATAGAACATAATGCCGAACCTTTTTTTTTTTTTTTAACGTGTGGAAACCCCCTCGGGCCGTCACCCCACCGAGGTTTACGGCGGGGTGGTGTTGGAATCGGACCGACTAAAATCACACGGTGTGCCACTCTGCGCCTGTAATAGGAGGGATCCGGGAACTGCTATTATTAGGACCTCCGGACCCCTCCTAGCGCCTGCCCGCAACGATGCGGGCACCACCTTCAGGTACATTCTCTATTTAGGCGACGTCCGGCACACGCGGACGTCGCCTCCTCGCGGCTGGCCGTTATGGCAGGTGGAGGGGAAAACCCGTCCCGTCCACCCGCGGCCACACTCATGGCAGCATGAGGCGGTGATAAGCGCGCCTCCGCCATCCGGTTCGCCGGCGACGGATTGGGTCCGAGTGGAGGCTGTCCTCCCGGGCCGACTCCGCCCCCTCCTTCTGCGAGATGACGTCTTCGCAGAAGGATGCGACCGCGGTAAAACATCTGTCGCTACCGGCCATGGAGCGTATGACGGCCGGTAGCGAGAGATCCTCCCCGATGACTGCAATGAGGACCCGTCGCTGCGGCGCCCAAGCCTGGCAAATGGCCAGCGTGTGCTAAGCCGAGTCCTTACTGCAATCGCAGTGGTGACATATATTTGAAAGTGTAGAAAAATATAATTGTGTATTTTACAAGGTGTCACGTAATTATTTGTAGATGCCTGTTCTATTTCAGCATTCTTGTTCTTGGCAAAACTGATCCCAATTAATCTATACATTCAATACCAAAACGTCAAACCATTTACATTACAGTAGCCATATGGAATCATAAAACACAAATAGACTCCGCATCATACACCGTTCAGCCCACAATTATTGTTGACATCTGTATATGATGATGCAAAGCTATACACTTTCCGTTTCATAGATTTGCGGACAAATAATAGCGTATTGGTACCTAATATGTTACTAGCATGAACCAGTTCCTTTTTTCGTGTGGAAATCCCTCCGGACCATCACTACCACTGCTGAGGTATTTCAGTTGCCGTGTGTTGGAATTGCACCAGACGCTGTGCGATGATGAGCTTCACAAAAGAAGGGGGCCAGCGATCCCCCTCTTGGCGCTAGACTGTAAAACAGCAGCAGGCAGGCAGGCCGTTTTCGGTAACTGAGCATAGCGGTTGGAAAGCAAAACTTGTCCCGTCTTTCTGCCTTGTCAGAGCTACATGCACCCACTCTTAACACAAACATTTTATTTGTTAGGTTATAATTGTAGCCATTTAAATATACGTTTATACCATATATCAAAATTTTGGCCAATCTCGAATTGCATTCGTTCCCTAGTATTTATTACAAACTATAGTTTTATTCATGTCAGTGTTCTTATTTACTTAATATTACTTAATTTTAAAGATATCTTTTAAAATGTACTTATGTATTCTGAATTTCGAGTTTTCTAAAAATACCCGTTCGCGTTTCACATTAGTCAAGTCCACTATAGGATCCTGAATTATAATAAACTATTTCTAAAAAACGTTATCATGTACATATTGTGAGAGACCATCACAGAAGCTGGTAACTTGTAAACAAGTTAGCAAACGGTTGAGATTAGTGAGATGTATCTCTGCATGTATACCTACATAATATTGGTGTTGCTGATGTAGAGCGTACCTAGTTGACACAACAATGGGCAGGCCTGCCTGTGCTTCTTCACATCGAACTACAAGTGTCAATCGGCACAATTGTGTGGCTACCTCACGCCGAGTCAAGGCCAATTTATGGTCCGAAGGGCGGGCGGCCGGAGCGCGCGGCGTTCAGTCGCATCTCACGCGCCTCGCTCACGCCACTTGCGATGTCGGCCAACAGTTTCGCGCCTCTGCGCGCATGCTCCCTGCTCCTGTGTCTTGTGGCAGGTGAGCGTCCGCCGCCTGACCGCCCCACGGTGTTTTATGTGACCTCGTGTCATGTGTTCGTGGACAGTGTCAATGCATACCTTGTGAAATGTTTTCCATCCAATATATTTTTCGCTTCTCGTGAATAATAGTTATCAACAGGGTTAAAAACAGGTGGTTTCATTCAGTACGGTTTTAAGCATTGGGTAAGAATGTTCATTTTACTGAAAACAGATGTATTTACTCATTTTGGGTTCGAAATTCTTGCTCTAATTTTAGCTTACGATTCATAACATTCTGTCTGTAAAATTTCACCATAAGAATTTTACGTAAACAAAATCGTCGTAGTTGTTCAACGTTCTGTTTTTAAATAGTAGAGCATAAAGCACTTTCGTATTGAAGGGTACTTGAGCAATTTACACAATTTTCCTGATACATATATAGTTAGTAATAGATAGATATCACTAAGGTAGCAAGGTATTCTGAACTGAATACAATAGGATGTACAAATCCCTGTTCTACTTCACATGACTCACTCAATCATAACATCACAGGAAGACAAACTTTTATATGTAATTTGCTTTTGTGCGCGCCACAATATACAACTAATAGTTCAGCGGATAATATTTTGTCGGTTCCTATGGTTTGGGGTTTGTAGTTGTCTGTATTCAAGAGTTGATAGAAGAAGAGATCATGCACTTTGTTACAATAGTTGATATCCTAACTTGTAGTTGATTAATAGTTTGGATTGTAGATATTTATCAAATATCTTAAAAAGTCGACCCAAACGGCGTGCGCTCTGGTTGCGGAGGTATTTTTAACATTCCCGGACCGCCTCAAGGTTAGCCAAGATAGTCGCTTATTCATTGGGATATGACCTAATTTTCCATAGGTTATTCTCTATTTATAGATAACTGATAAAATTTTGAAGGAAAGCTGATTCTGAAGAAAATATAAACTCGGCAGACAGTCAACCTCCTTATGGCATTGTGTCCGTAAGTTTGATACAATTAATGGAACTGCAACCGAGCAAGCGTTTGACAACGCAATATTTCCACTGTAATGTTTCTCTCCCACAACGGGTACATGACACAGCTAGTTATTTGGTATTTATGGCTTATAATATAAAAATTGCTATTGTGGGTGGGCTGTGCGGTCAATTTCAAACTGCTGAGCAACATTCTATGTGCCTAAAATATACCTTAATGGTCCATAATAATTACGTCGTTAAACTGATATCTGCAGATTTATTTCGTTCTTGAGATGGTTTACACGTAGGTGTCTATATATTGACTTATATACCTATTTATAATACTGCAGCGTGACCCCTATTCCTATCAAATATTGTTTTAAAAAAAAGCAAAAGCCACTTGCTTTGGAACTCTAGCCAAATTTTGTGATAATGTAAATAAACACAAGAAAGTTTGTCTCTACAGTAAACACAGTTGAAGAAAAACGAATTTACTACTCGAATTCGAAAATGTACTGAAACAAATTGTGAAATGGTAAATAAATATTATTCACCTCGTTAATATCATTATCAATTCTAAATATTGTTAAATAGCAATAAGGCGTTTAAACTGAAACTCCATTGAATTGAGTTCAATAAAATATCCCATACGTGGGAAACTTTTATCGTTTACTATACAAAAATAAAAGAATTTAGCATGAAGAATTATACTCGTAGTATTATTATATTATACTCGTACTCCATCTCATCAAAGAGGTACAGTTTGACGTTTCATACTTTTCAAACCGAAACGACTTTGTATAGGCGTAACTCACACAATTTCAATAACTTCCGTAAAACTATGGAGTTATGCAGCTATTTTTATTTTGTCGCAAGATATACAATTCTTAATGACTAAATTTAAATCTTTGAAACAAAGCAAAATAATCAATTTATACACAATAGATGTTTTTTTTTCCAAACTTCATTTTAAAGTCACGTACTTGGGTCCTTTACCGTAGGTAGTGTTGGCGGCTCTTCAAATTCACTTGAATAGGAATAATCGTTAAAATATACGAAAAGTATTTCATAATACTTAAAATTTATCTGTTATTCAAATCTCAACGAAAACGCATAATTAAAATTAAAAGTATGTAACTTAATGTAATTTTAAATAATTTTTTGTAGGTAAAAATCGCTCGTGTCCAAGTCTCGTGCATACCAAGATTTACTAGTGAAACCTATGATGTGCCATTACACGGACTTTTATAGTAACATCCATAAATCTGTGCAACTGTAATCGTTTAGTACATACTAAAAAAAAAACGAAAAACCTTAAGAATCGGATATTTTAGAAATCGATTTCTTTGTCCCTATCGCTATACTTCAATCTGTCAAATGGTACCTCTTGGATTAGATGGACTATAGTCAACCAATCTTTACACTACAGTCTGTTAGCTATAGAATACAGAAATACGGTGTAGGTATGTACTACTCTGTCAAGAAAGTACCGGGAAAAGATCAATAATACACAAAATGTTTGTTATTCATCCAAATTTATTTTATCACCTTCAAAGTATGCTCCTTCAGAAACGATACACTTACGCCAACGAATAATCCAATCATCAAAACATTTTTTAAACGCTGTTTCCGGAATTGAGTTTAGTTCTCGCCGCGAATTCTCCTTTATGTCTTTTATTACCGATTGAAAACGGGTGCCACGAAGTGGTAATTTGAGTTTAGGAAAAAGAAAGAAGTCGGCCGGATCCATATTTGGTGAATATGGTGGTTGCTCGATTGTATTTGTTAAGTGCTTGGTCAAAAATTCGTTCACAATGATGGCCTTGTGCGAAAGCACATTATCGTGGTGCAAAATCCAAGAATTTTCTTTCCACAAATCTGGCCTTTTTCGTCGAATTTGCTCTCTTAAATGCCGCATAACGCTCAAATAATATTGTTTATTTACCGTTTGACTTTCCGGCAACAATTCCGAGTGCACAACACCACGATAGTCAAAGAAAACAGTCAACATGACTTTGATTTTTGATCTATTTTGGCGTGGTTTTTTCGGTTTCGGTTCAATTGGAAGGCGCCACTCCGAAGCTTGTTGACTAATTTGCATGTCAAACTCGTAAACCCACGTCTCGTCACCAGTAACAATGCGTTTCATGAATGTTGGATCGAAATTGACTCGTTCTAGCATGTCCTCAGCGACTCTCATCCGATTGAGTTTTTGGAGCATATTCAGGTCTTTTGTGACTAGACGGGCGGTAACATGTTTCATACCCAAATGATTAGTTAAAATGGTACGGGTCGACTCGTGAGATACAGAAAGTTGAATGAGGATTTTCAGTTTCAGTTGCAGACGTTGATGGCCTACCAGAGCGAGGCAAATCTTCCATCACATCTCGACCGCTTTTGAACCACTGAACACAAAGCACGTGTTTTTGATAAAATCGATTCACCGTGAGCCTTCTGTAATATTTTCAGTGACTCCGAACACGAAATTCCATTGGCGATGCAAAATTTAAGACAAACTCTTTGTTCGATGTTTTTGTCCATTATGAAATTCCTAATACACACAGATATGATATAACTAAAAACAGCACTGTATTTAATATAAATACCAGATGCAACTCAAACTCCGCACCAAAATGGAAAACAGTTGTGCCAATGTAACAACAACAAACAAAAAAAAAAAAATTTAGAACTATAAACAAATCATCCATTCCCGATACTTTTTTGACTGAATGTATGTATATAATTATGTTATGATTAAGTAGGTACATATTTTTGTAAAGGTACATATGACGTTGTCGGAGTACCTAGTTACCAGATTTGTATTTGACATCGCCGATAATTAAATTTAAGTAAATACAACTACCCTCTAACTGTAGATGGCGATCGAGGTTTATAGAAACAGCTGAGTACAATATAATTATGTAAAACGGCACCTAAACTAGAGAAATTTTAACTTAATATAGGTACCTTTTTTTATTTAAAACGCGTCTCCCTGCTTGTAAGCTTTATGACTGTCAAGTTTATAATATCTTTCTATTGAAGGTTTCAACAGAAGCTCTGCAATAATATCTGTGTGTAGGTACTTCTTTCACAAAAGCCTTCTTTAACATAGAATGAGTTATATATTTAAAGGCAAACATAACATCACACTTTCACAATGATGTACATGACCTGTCATTCACTTTCTAAAAATTATCCAATTAAATCTTCCACAGCTAGTTGGCAACTATCAATAAGAGAATTTGTAGTACCCAAGGCGATTGAATTGGGGAGCGATGCTGAATTACGGTGTGGGTACGAGTTAGATGCGAACGAGACAGATGCTTCGCTGTTTGTCAAGTGGTGGTGGACACCAGAGTCTTCGTCGAGTGATGGAAGAAAACCTATCTATCAGAGAATATCGGGACAGAAAGCGCAAACCATTCATAACAGTAATTCTAGTAAAATAGGTGGGTAATGATAACTTGAATAATTTACGTATATAATTCATTACGCAGGGTTAAAAGTTAAATCTACCTTTCAGATATAAGAGACAACGACACTATTATACTGATAGATGTTACTCCTGTAGATTCTGGGACGTATGAATGCGAAGTGTTTAATAACAACGAAGTACTACAACACCAAAAATTAGTTGTATTCCGTGAGTATTGAGTTTCGTATAATGTTTTTACCTATACCTACTTATGTTCTTATCTATACTAGTGCCAAGCCCCGGCTTTGCACTTCTAAAAATTTATTACAGATTCTCATTCTTTGGGTTAGCGACTATTTAAAACTAGATAAAATACATTAAACGTTAAGTAGTCTAATTAAAGATGTCACAAATAAGGTTTATTATCTTTCAGTATTTTTTCGATACTATGTCTTATTCTTAGAAGACACACAAATAGCGTTACTGTACATTATACTGGGCACATCAACTGCCTCCACTCCACTTTTTCTAACTTGAGCCGCTGGCTCCAATTAGTGCAGATATCGGTTGTGTTCCTTATTTTTCGAGGTGAATACTTCTTTAATAATCCTTTAATACCCTCCTTCTTTAATACCTCTTTAATAATCTTCTACCCTCCTAATTCTTCAAAAAATACTTTCTAAATGACCCATGCTTGGAAGGTGCTGACCCAACATAAAATGGAGCTCCCGTTCGGGAGCTCCATTTTATGTTGGGTCCGAACTGATTTTGATTTTGTTTTGTTTGAAAGGTGAATTAGTCGGGAGTGTTCTTAGCTATGTTTGATGAAAATCGGTCTAAGATGGCCGTTGCCACAAAATGGCGGTTTAAATATTTTTTCACAACTCCCTCAATATGGGAATTAAATGAAAGAGCTTGACTAGTAAAATACTATACACTTTGACAAATTTCAAATCCAAGATGTGTTGGTGATTTTAAATTTAATATTTTTTTTTAAACGAGAGTACTTAATATTCCTTGTCTTATCTAGTGATTGACATATGAGTGATATGACAGCACAGCAGTCGCATACGCTTATTATTTTTCATTAACAACTTCAGTTTTCAAAAGTTGGTGAACTTAAATAAAAAATGGTAAGAAGTAAGTTTTACGAATGATAGATAGACTTAAACTAATTGTACATAATTTAAGGGAGTACGTACTAACTTAGTTACGTACCTGTTAGTCTAGGGGTTTGTCATTCTGACTACTAAGCAAGAGGTCGTGGGTTCGATTCTCACCCAGGACAATTATTGTGTAATGGACACGATCATTTGTTTTGTGTCTAGGTGTAATTTATCTTTAGATTTTTAAATTTAAATTTAAATTAAAATTAATTAAAATAAATTTTTAAATTAAAAATATTAATGATAATTTTTCATGTACTTTTTGTTTTTTATACAGCTTTAATTTTTTTGTTTATTTATATATTCTTAATATTTGGGTCCATAACATTCTTCATATTGATGTTCTTAGCTTAGACACTAAACGGAACCATTTCAGATACTACTACTACGCTGAGTGTTGTGAGTTCGATCCCCACATACGACGACACTTTGTGTAATGAACAAATTGTTTTTCTAAGTCTGGGTGTTCTTTGTGTCCGTTTCATGTATGTTTGTAAAGTCCCACGCGACACATTTCTAATGCGGGAGTGGTCTTTTCAAAACAAATGATAATAACTCGGTTGTCATTTTTGTATTTAGTAATATAGAAGCGATATCCCGCAAGGCCAAGGAGAGGCCTATGTCCAGCAGTGGACTGTTATAGGATGCCGGAGGACTACTAACTACCGTAATAGTTGCAAATTGAAATCCCTAAGAAGTCGATTTTGGACCAATTGGTCTAGACCTGTACATGATAGATCCCGTTTTATAGCATTTTACCATGGATTAAATGTTTTTTTAATGAGATGAAATTAGTTTGACAATTTAATTGGATTAGAATCTAGTAATTGTCATTATTAAGAGTTTAAAATTATCGGATAAGTTTATCTATCGCCTTTATAACTATATCTATTCTCCTATATCATTAAACTACTACTTCACATATATATTATCCTAAATCATTAAAAAAAAGTTCGGTTCAAAAATTGAAATTTTTTAGTATCATTTGTGTGTGTTGTTAGGCAACATTACTGTTTTAATTCAACATTTTTGTTTTTGTATTACAATTCACTAGTCAGTGTTATTAAATTCCTATTTTAAATTATATTCAATATTATTTCAGACTCGGGAACGGGACCTATGGTTAATGTTTCTGAGGTAGACGACGATACAGAAGACAATAACAACAAGAAGCTCCTACTAATAGAGTGCCATGCAGAAAATGTAGCACCGAAACCAGACCTAAGTGTCAATATTAACGGGTCAGAATAATATTCTTTAAGTCTATATTATCGATCTATCGATTAGTACTGCATTAACCACAGTACGATTGGCCAATGTTTTAGAGTGTTCAAAGGGTTTGGTGCATTTTAATTCCTGGAATAAATTATAGCTTAAAAAACTAAAAATCACGAAAAAAAAATATTTTATCGTAAAAATTAGTGCTAAACTCGATATTTGTAAAATTATTTTTAACGCTTTTATTAGCTTGGTGTGTATCTATGTAACGTAATCTTTGAACGTGATCTCACCTACTTTAAAACGTCGAATTAAATTGAAACTTCGCACACTTATCAAGGACCGATGACAATATTTGATAAATTTGGCCGATTATCCTGATTAGGATGTTCAGGATTAACGGCTTTTTCCATACCTAAAAATACGATAGTGTCTTTTGCTACGTACTAAGAGGTAGTAATGGGCATTAATGCTAATAAGATTTAATTTAATTTATTGCGACGAATTCAATTAATTTGCTAACTGCTAATTAAGAATTCATCTTATATATAAAATTCTCGTGTCACAATGTTAGTTACCAAACTCCTCCGAAACGGCTGGACCGATTTTTATGAAATTTGGTGTGCACACCGGGTAGGTCTGAGAATCGGCCAACATCTATTTTTCATACCCCTAAATGACAAGGGTGACCCACCCCTATTTTTTTTAAATATTTCCTAGAAATAAAATATATGACAAAACGACGTTTGCCAGGTCAGCTAGTAATTAAATATGAGTGTAAAGACTAATTATTCCATCACTATTAAGAGGAGTGTGCTGAAGCATATGTGACTTACTTATTTGTTACTTATAGTTTTAATAAGAAAATAATCATCATTAATGACTTAAAAAGCAAATATAAATTATAGTTAAAAAAAAACACGCTTTTGTGACTAGACGAACTAAAAAGTAAAAAAAAATATATCTATAAGTTCAAAAAGAAAAATAATTTAATCGTAAAAAAGCGTCGGCTGCTTTACAATATATTTTATAATTTAATAACTTTTACAGTCGTCACAAAATAAGAAGCCTGTTTTGACATTTGTCATGGTGGCGTAACTAGTGATTACGACCATACGACTCGGTGCACGATGCTTCCGATAAATCGATTCAAGCTTGTAGAGTATTTGATTGATTTGACTATATATCACAAAGTGCATTGGATTTAAGTTATAATTAGAACATATAACTTAAACTTTAATGTTATAGGCAATTTGAAATGATACAATTTAAAGAAATGTCAATTTGTCTTTAATTTAAAAATTTAGCTCAATCACAACAAAATCAAGAAAAGTGAAATCAATCATTTTCTTCTGATGACGAGCCAGATGAGCTATCGTCGCCTGTATATATAATTATTTCATTTTCTAAAATATTATCAATATTGACGTCTCTATCATAATCTTCCTTTATTATTTTTCGCGTCTTTTCTACCACTTTTGCCCAATCTTCTGTAGTTATTTTATCACAAGCTTCTTTTAACAATGTCATCATATTCTTAGTGGAGAATAGTGGCTTTGTATTGTGACGTGCTGCGTATCCTTTGACCTGAGCCTGATCCTTTCAATAAATTCATGTCAGCTTCAACGCCTTTGCTTTGTAACCACGCCACTAAATCTGCCTTTTTGCTTACTTGAGTAGGTGCCTTATCTATTTGAACTGAATGGTAAGGTGCATTATCCATAATAGTTGTGCACTGTTCGGGGAGGTTTATTAACAACTTAGTAAACCACTCTAATAATTTATTTGCATCCATTTCTTTGTGGTATTCTTTTGTACAAAACCTCCCCCGGCTGATCCGGCATGGCAGATTATTAGGCGTCCACCCTTACCCATTGGCACTTTTGAACAAGATGCCTTGGTATCATCCGTCCATGACTGTGGCACGGTATGATTCGAGTTCAGCCAAGTTTCATCGATAAATATGACATTATCGCAATTTGTAATTTTGTTCATTTGCCTCAAGAATGATACTCTATGCAAAATTATATCATATTGTTCCATCATAATTTTCCTCTTGTCGGTTTTCTTGTATCTGAAACCAATTTGCTTCATAATTGATGTTAAAGATGTTGCACTGCCACTAAACAGGCCAGCCTCTCTTAGTGATACCACCAACTTACTTACAGTTGGGTACTCACTTCTCGTGTAATAAGCATATACGTGGTTTCGAATAGCATCTGCGTCAAATGTGTCAATACCTGTTACAGGCTTGCTTTTCTTCCTCTTCTTAGGCGTATGTAACACATTTTCTTCAGTACCGGAAAACCCATACTTTTCCTTCAAAATGGTTCGAATAGTTTTTTTGCCGATTCCAAGTGCTTCTGCTACGCGATCTTGCACTTGAGTTACGGGTAATAATGGTCCATCATTAACTGATTCGCGTTCGAAGTACTTGGTTAACTTCACAACCAATTCGCGTGATTGGCTGTTGATTGTACGTCCTCTTTTCGACATGTTGAAACAGAGTTTGTACAATATAACAACAAACACCAAAATCGAGTCCAAATCGCTATTTCTAATCAATGTCCGGAATAGAAGAGCCAAGGTCAACGTGATAGTAAACAAAAACAGTCCAAAAGCAAAGCCGAGTCTAGAAAAAATATCAAACATAAACGAGCGCAAGTCAACTTCACAAGATGTCGAACGAAAGACTGCGCAGTACGCGGTACGCGCATGGATCACGTGCCGCTTGGTCATAGACAAACCATTCTATAGGTACATAGAGAAAGGAAACAAATTATGTACGGCTTTGATAATTCTTTTATAGACTGATTTTTAAGGACTGTTGTCAAATGTGACTGTTGCAAAATGAGACATGACGTATTTTTTTCAATATCATGATCAAATGATTTGGTTAAAAAACCCGGCGTCCACTCCGGGTTTTTTAACCAAATCATTTAGTATAATATCAAAATATTCATATTAAATTTCAAAATAAAGCTAAAACTATATGTGATCAGATTTTGTTTTTTAAGTTTAAATATTTAATAATATACTAATTACTCATTTATCTCTTTTTTTAATGTAATTTTTGTAAACGATTTTGAGGAACTCTATTTTATTCGGCCATAAAACGGCTTTTTAACGGTTACAACACTACGGCAACCAACCCAAAGACATGACATTGTAGTAAAGTCCTGTCGAAATATTAATCAACGATTAATTCGTGTTTTTGAGTGAATTTTTTCATTATAAAGTTAAACTTGATGCTTATTTATGATACGCGTTGTGATAGTGTATTGGTAACATAGTAATTAAATAGGATTATGAATTTCATTTTTCAATTTCTTACATAGACGTTCATACAAAGTTATCGCGGCATGTCAAATGAGAAACGTCAAAACGGGCTTCTTATTTTGTGATGACTTTACCAATATCTGTTCTTGATAAGTGTGCGAAGTTTCAATGAAATTCGACGTTTTGAAGTTTGTCAAAATCACGTTCGATGATTCCGTTACATACATAGATACTTACAAACTTAGGTAATAAAAGCGTTTAAAAAATATGAAAATTCTATAAATTATAAGAACTAAAAAACAAAGTGAAGGTAAACATTGAAAAAATAAAATAAAAACCTTCTTGGGTTTGAAAACTGATACGTTGCCTCATGTTGTTTTGAACCCGTTTTTTTTCAAATGTGTCTTCTCTTAATTAAAGTGACTATAGACTAAATATTATCCACCTACCTATATCTAGTAAGAGATTATTTACAATTTTACTTACAGGCAGGATATCAACATGACCACTATTATTGAAGATGATGACCACAATGGCTTCTACTCAGTATATGCTAATACGACTATCAGCAACGAAGACATAGATGAGGCTGAAGTCCGTTGTGAGATCTTTTACTCAGATCCTAATATCGTACATCCCGCGTACGTAGATGTCACGACGTTTGTACCCACAGGTATTAGTTTTATGTGATCAAATGTATATGGCAAGCAAACAGGTTTTGGGACTCTCGAACATTTACTTTGTCAATTGGAATTTGAAAGTCACTCTGAAAAACTGGAAAGCATCGTGGCAATTCTAAGTTATTATATTATGCAACCGTTTACAAAATCTAATTCGGTACTAAAAGTGACTTCCAATACCTAGCGCACAAGCTTGTAGATAAGGTTAACAATGCCGTGGCATTGTTATAAATAAACCATATTACAAGTAATGTTCGCAATGTTACTTGTTAAGTGTTTTCACTTTCGCTAGTATTTTCTTATCGAAATTCAAACGGTTTAAGGATAAAATCTAATGCATCGAGATTCGCTTAATGCGCACTAGTGTTGGCTTGGGAACGTCTTCACGTTGTTAGTCTAATTTTGTGAGCTGTTACAGGTGGTTTTGTCAAAACAGTGATCGGATGCATTTCTAATCGATACTTTATCGAATGATATGCCTAAACAATGACAGTAGCACTTACTCACGTTATACTGCTAAGGTTAGAAGCATGAATAAGTAACAGCATTTCGCTTATGTGACTTGACTTTAGAAATGTGTAAGTAGTGTATAAAACTGAGTACGAATATGAGAACACTCAATATGGGTTTCTTTGAAGATTCTGCGCCTAAACTCAAGCTCGCTCGAGGGTTGATACCATAACTATTCTCAATTGCAGAAAAGGTTGCTCTTCTCAATCCAGAACGATATTTTACCTTAATGTATAGTCAAAGCGAATCTATTCTTTCTTGTTTGTGGAAATATTCAATGACACTTATTTCAAAATTTGAAACTCCTTACAATAACCATAGACAATACTCACGATAGCAAGAATCCTTGAAGGAGGTGACCAACACAATTATAAATAATGCAAAGAGGTACTCTTAAGAAAACCAGAGCTGAGCCTTTGCGCATTTTTTATAAACTACTTTGAAGATTTGCGTCGAATTTTATCTGCAGAAATTTCTACTTAGTACAAAATTGAATTTGATTTTGATCTACAGCCACCTATATATCCTCTTAGCAGTAGCGCAAATCCCATATTTTTAACAAAAAATTTCACAAAGGTAATTATCATCAAAGATCCCAATCTCTCATAGGTTTTGGTTTTCAGCTAAATATCGCTAATTATATTGTATCAGTATTCTGTCAGGGTAGGTAGTGTGTGCGAAGACTGAGTTTGTGTTGTATGTATACTAACGCAATGGTTATTGGTCATGGTCGACGCCAGGCAGGGACACGCAGTCCACCACAGAGATGCCCGAAGAAACGACACAGCCGGAAGCTACGCCAGAGTCTTTGCAAAGTCCCAGTAAGTCATATCAAACTCTAGGTACCCACACGACGAACAATGCACTATTACATCTGAGATAGCAGTTGTTAATGTATTAACTTCTTTTTTCAACAATGTATTTATATTGTCAGTAACTTTTATCTTATATTAATAAATTGTTTTAAATTTATATATGTAAATGATCATATTTGCTTACCTGAATATCCTGGCCACGTCCATGTACCTATACATGTCGTAACATAATTATATGTTATTTGTAACTAGACGGAAAACCGAGTTCTTATAATTAACATTTTTTTTACTAGAGATGTGCCGGATACTTAAAAAGTAGACTTGCAACGAATATTCGGTTACTATTCGGTATTCGGCATATTCGGCTGCTTTTATTATATTCGGCCGAATACCGAATATCTACATATTATTCGGCCGAATACCGAATACTTAAATAATATATTTTGTCATTGAGAAATAATTGGTAAAATGAAAAATTAAAATCGATTGATTACGTATATATTCATATTTTCATTTCTGTTATAATCATTTAAGTAGTCATTGGTGAATAACACAGGTACATAATCATCTTCTGAATTGGAAAAATGGAGGATTCTATGTATTTGAATTATTGTGGTAATCAAAATTTAGAAGGGTAAGGTTCTCATTTCTTTTATAATCATTTATTAAGTAGTCATTGGTACATAAAACAGGTACATAATTTAATTCACGTCTGTACAAGTTTTTGGCGCTAAAATCCAGCCGAATACTTTTGCCTAATATTCGGCTATTCGGTCAGGGGCCTCGCCGAATATTCGGTATTCGGTATACTGCCGAATATACTATTCGTTGCAAGTCTATTAAAAAGTATAACTGAGAATACGGACACGAATCTCATTTATTTTTAAGGTTCCGTACCTCAAAAGGTAAAAAAGGAACCCTTATAAGATCACATTCTTGTCCGTCTGTCCGTGTGTCACCACCGATTTTCTCAAGAACGGGTAGACCTATCAAGTTGAAATTTATACCAGATACTGAGGTCTATGGTCCCTATTAGGTGTATAAAAATCAAGGTCCTGAGTCAACGCGATAAAAAGATATGGGCAAATTTAGATTTTCACGAAAACTTTACCTTAATTTTCAACTTTCTTTATTTTTCAGAATTTCCTCTTTACTTGTACTGTAAGACCTTGCTTTTAAACAAAATTGACAATTCTAGGTCAACCGGAAGTACCCTATAGGTTTTGGGTCGAAAACCTATATGGTAGATCCCGTTGACCTAGAATCACGAAATTTGCCAAAAAGAAAAGTATTACAGAACAAATAAAGGAATAAATCAAAAAAATAAAAAGTTGAAAATTAAGATAAATTTTGGTACTTACAAATTTTCGCGAAAATCTACGTAAAATCTGGGTAGGTACGGAACCCTCGGCGCACGAGTTCGACTCGTACCTGACCGTATTTCACCATTACCAATGAACGTTGTGGACTAAATAACGCGACATGATTCGATTTGCTCTTTTATACGATGTGCATTGAGCCGTTTAAACCGCCGTAAGCTTGACCCTCCTGATGGTTTGGGGGACGCGGGGCGGGGGTGTATTCAACCAATTAGCTAGTGCGTCGCTGTCCGCCGGCAGTGACTGACGTGAAAGCATGGCTGTACGTGTTATTTTTCTTAAGACTGCTACACACGGTATTATTTTGCAATATGGATAATCTGCCGACTCTGCGTCACAAAAAGATATAAAAACTTGAAGTTCGGCTTACAGAGGTTCTACTGTTAAAGTTCTAATAAAGAATATTTATTATTTTACTTAATTTTTAAATTGTATCTGAATTTAATTTACATGATGAATATTAGGTGATTTTATTAAAATTATTTTACAGTATTAAATTTTACAATTAATCATAAAAACTTAAAATACATGGAAATAAATTAGATTTTTATTACATCGTGTGTAGATTAAATCTCAAACAAATAAATCTGAAGATATCGAGTTAGTACATCGTGTCATGTATAGCCGAGCGCATCACCCGCCCCGCGTCCCGCAAACCATCGGAAGGGCCAAGCTTACGGCGGTTTAACTATAGTTCTATACGTTCTGTCAATGCGATGCGAGTCGATGCGACCTAAGTCGCGTGACACCGCCGGCACGCTGCACGAGCCCTTTTTTTTTGTTGACGGGGTGGAAAATCCCTTCTTATCTCCGCCTCTTCGGGGACGCAGGAGCCAGGAGTACGTGGTGTTTCCATTAAAAACCACCCCGACAGCCGGTCTCAAGCGCCCTGTCCTGAATAGAACCTGGATAATGTTATTTCAGGTCCTCTCCGGATCGACGCCGCGTCTAGCCAGGCCCTATCCTGGGGAAGGAAGGCTTCCCACGTCTATCGGCCAATCCTTATAATATGTTGCGGCCCGATCGCATTTTTGCGACCAGGACGCCATCCTATCGCCTACCGCAGCAGTTAATCTGCCACCAGAGGTCCCACTCTCTGGCAGCCTGCGGCCCCGTCGACGGCTGATAACGCCGCTGACGTCCTCTACGCTCGGGATCTGCCCTCTCCCGATTCCGTTCAGCGGTCACTTTCTGCGTCCAATCCGATTCAGATACTCATCGAAGCAAGCATGCCCAGTGAGTACCTACGTCAATCAGTAGGTGACGCAATCTCCCTCCCTACCTACCCAAGCTTCGAGGCTAGGCAGAACGGCACCGACAGCGCGTTGGTGCGTATTCTGCGGCTTGTTCAGCCGCGCGCGCAACTGCACCAGTATCTGTACTCTGCACAAGCCCTAATTTGTTATTATATTACAGAACACGCGGTAAGTCTTAAACATTCGAGTAACTTCCGGAAAAACCAGGATAATGCACCTTGCATATTTCTCGCATCCATGCTCTTCAAGCAGCAAACTTTGGATGAAGTGTCAGACGTAACGAAATAGCGGTCTAAAATTCACGCTATTCCTGTTTTTTTAGTTTCCTTCTTGTTGTTTTGCTTAAACTCACCGTAATTATTTTCATACACATATCACATAGATTTTATTTTGTTATGAAAAACGTTTTATTTCGTCAGATAAGATAATCAAATTATATTTTGTAACTGTTAATAATATTAATCATTTACTAGATTATTATTAGATTAGATTTTTAATTTAATCAAAATAAAACAAAACTTTCAAAGACGTAAAAAAAAAAATATAACAATGTGAATGATCCGTTCAGGATTGGCCAAAATGTAACGGACACCGACACGGATACAGGTCTTTATCTTTCTGGGATATCCGCGGATATGAAGACACATACGGGTACCCGGCACATCACTATTTTTTACAATGTATGTAACTACAGCATACAGGTATTAATAATTTTATGTGATCTACGTTATCTTTGTGTTGTGTACGATACGTCGATACTGTTAAAACCGTTTTACACGGTTGTTTTTACACGAGCATTATATTGAAGTATAAAAGCTTTACTGGAATGCTGAAAAGTTGTCTGTATGTAAAAAAATTTTACGCTTACTCAGTTAAAAAGTGATAAATGTTGTCGACTAAATTTTTTGTATTTATTAGTTACTGTATTTGCGTTGCTACTTATTGCTGCTTTAAACTCATAAATACATAACTTTGTATACTTTTAAGCGTCAGAAGCCAAACTGTTTCGTCTTCTTATGAAATTATAGTTTTTATAACGACACATGAAGTCATTTATCTAACTTATAGTGTGTAAACTTACCAACCAGCGTCTGTGTGGTAGGAATAGCATGGTTGTCGCTTTTTGTTCTACTAACCAGATAGCACTCTATAATATATACGAGATAGGTATAATATTGAGAAATTGTACTGGTGTAAGTTTATTCGTGTACTATAAAACAATGGCGTTGTAGTCGCTAGGTACACGTTGCATATAGCTAAACACCACAAAGAATGCTGAAAACATCTAAATAATTAGCTACATATTATATCCTTTCCTAGTGCGTATAATTCTAGTAGGATCTTTTATTATTTAAAATTAAATTAAGTGCATTTAACTTTACAGGGGACGACGGCGTAAGACTACACAGCTCATGGATTCTTCTTACCCTAGCATCCAGCCTCGTGTATCTACAAACTATACTTTAATTTATTTTTAATGTGATACTAATTATGTAACTACATATACAATACTGTTACAATTTAACTAAATTTTAATTTTTATAAGCTTTATCTATAATAGCCAGTATGTCTAAATATTATTCCAGTTTATGCAATAAACCAATACTACTGTTGCTAATAAAATGTTTTTCTCAAAAATCATGTCTTATGCATCCAACGTCATAACAGATGCAGTCTATCACGATTCAATACAATGGTATGGCAATTTTAATAGGTTATAATTTTGAGTCAGGAGTAAAATATTTAATGTGTAAGGATCAGTATAACGAATACTGAAATTGTGTATTCAGACCATCAGTCTGAGTCGAAAATCATTTTTTCTGTGTTCCCTCTTTCTGGCAGAATCTTGATGCTTCGAAATTCTTTTCGCATAACACAATTATTTAGTATAATTATTGTTTGGCCAAATGTTAATGTCCGAATTTACAATGGCGTACTTTCAAGATCGCAGCATAACGGTTATTTAGAGCGACGATTATTTGGTAGAATATCATTTGGAATAATTTTGTTAGGCATATTGCCGTAAAGTAGCATTTTTAACCTTAAATTAAATTATTATCTTAAAAAAGTCATAATATCTTGCTACAAAAGTTTGTGACAGAAAGGAATCGCTGCAAAACCGATTCCACGTGACTACGTGGAGTCGGTTTTGCAGCTATTCGATTCCTTTGTCTGCCCTTCTATTGTAATTTAAGCCCGCGTAGGCGCAGAAGGGCGAGGCGGCAGAAGGAAGTGGTTTCAACGCACGCCGCCGTGGCTGAAGCTGCCGTGTTGAGCGTTGAATTCATCTACGACGATAAGCTCGCGTGGGACCGCCGGATCCCCGCAGCGCCGGAGCCGTGATAGATATGCTGCATTCTGCATACTTGCTGGCTTTATTATTATAGTAAGAAATACAAAATGATGGATTGATAGTCTTTCAATTATTATAGATATCAAATGTATGCCAAAAGATGATTCTCACTGTAAACTATCTGAGATATGATAGTTCTGCCTTTTAATGACTATCGATATGAAATTTATGCTCAAAGACGATTCTGACTATTGTATTGTATTCCGTGCAAACAGTACGCACACTAACACAAGTTGGCGGCCGGGAGGGGAGGTCCCGCGTGCTTCGGCTGTTTTATTAATTATATTGCAGTTTTTGACTATTTTTTCTTTAAAATGTTCTGTTTACTCATTGTGATATCATTTTAGACAAAAAAAAAAGAAAATTATAAAAAAATATCGATTTACGATTTACCGGCAGAAAATTCCAACACTTTTCAACCTCAGAATGTGGTCTGAATACACTATTTCAATATTTGTTACACCGTCCGGAACATCCTGTATAAATATTATGTCCATTGCTCGATGCTCGATTTTTTCTTGACGACACTCGAAATTGCCACATGTAACATCGCTGTATTTATCGCTGAACTGTCAGCTGTTCGTGTATTATCCCTTTCATCAAATAACAACCTATATTGCACGCGATAGTAGTGCTACAATAAAGGGAATAGTTATTAACCGAACACATTCCCACGTATACGCGGCAATACCTTTTTTCACATGTGGAAATCCCCTCGAGCCGTCACCCCACCGGGTTTTGCGCCAGGGTGGTGTATCGAAATCGGACCCACCTAAACCACACGATGTGCCACTTTGCGCCTGTGATAGGAGGGATCCGGGAACTGCTGTTATTAAGACATCCGGACCAATCCTAGGGCCTGCCCGCAATGGCGCGGGCACCATCTTCGGGTATATTCTCCATTTGTTATCCACCAGTGCTGTTACCTTGCAGAGTTTGCTCCCTTATTCGGCTCTTACGACACTCATAGGATGAATAGGGGTTGTGACACCCTGTATTCTTAACCCGTCACCACATGGACAGGTTGTTACCTTATACTGTAAACTTTAACCATAATATTTTATTACAAAAATATAACTGAGACTGCAATAATGGCAGGTCGTGGCAAACCGTATCGATTTTTATCCCTTGTAGTTCGTTCGTTTGAATAACTATTTCTAGTTTCAAATACCCATAGCTGTTAATAAAAAACAATATCTCAAGACCTAAAATTATTATAACACAACATGTTCACGGTGATACTTATAACATCATTACCTAGGGAATGCCTAATAGGGTGACTGGTAAAGGTGCTTAATTCTTTTCCACACGGACGATAGCGGCCTTTAGGTTATTTAAAAAAAAAACTAAAGTGCTAGGATCCTTGCTTTGAAATAACCAAAAATGAGATGATTTAAATAACAAGTCACATGTTTATAAAAAAAGTTATAATTGAACTACTTACACTTCTGTTTATAAATATATTTTTTATTTCTTGCCTATGTCATCATCGTGTTGGTCTTACAAAAATCCATTTATTATACTAAGTATAAAGAATACAGTCCACATGTAAAATAACATTATATACAAAGCTTTCTTATTATCTACGATAAAATAATGGCACGTTTTCAATAATTTAACCACTATAAAAGTTTGTAATGCATATTTTGCTAGCTGACGAAAACAGTAAAGTTATCGAATGCGATATCTGCACAGCGAAATTTCTAGTCGTGGGATCGAATCGTACTAGACGTTTACAGCTTCAAATCCATTTTTACTGTACCAAGAGTGTGTTATATTAAATAAAACTAGACTTTATTCCAGACCTTATTGAATTTGCGGGACAATAATAAAGTTTCAGTTCGATTTAATAGAAATTTTATTCGGTATATTGATGTCCTTCGTTTCTATTAACTTATTTACAATTAAAATAACATTTCAGCTCTTTTTTTCAAAAGAAAGGTGAGGAAAACCGTAGACATAAGTAATTAACCATACTGGGCGTCACGAATCCCACGCCACGCGCACACAATGTAATATCAATTTTTTTACATATTTTTATTCTAAAGTTCTTTCTGCAAAACTTAAACAAAAGTCGGTTAACAAAAGTACGCGTAATGTAAATTCTATAATCAGAAACCGAACGAATAAAAGGCTGGGGTTATATACTGAATAAGATTAAAAAGTAATCTAATTTGTCTTTCAAAGTAGGGAATATATTTACACCTTTACGTTTAATAATAAAATCTTTGGTTTATTCCTTCTTAGTATTACTTAAAACATTCTAAAAGCATGTAATCTAAAATTTTACAAATTATATGGTTTAGCCTTTGCATTATTCTACAGACTACACTTACGTAGAAATGGTGGCACTTACTATAATTAGGATAATATGATCTGCTTTTTTAGATGTCACAATCATGATATATGAGTAACAAAAAATATCTAACAACAGTTGAGTAGCACTTCGTATTAGCTGAAGACACAAAATTAAAACAGATAATGAAATATATATCTAATCAATTAATGAAGAATTCCTAGAATTGTTTTTTTTTTTATACCTACATCTTTATACATATTCTTTATGAATTTACCTACAGTGTACATCGACGTAATTGTCAAAAAACTTTCGTAGTGTAAATGATTGGGATCACTCTATGTAATAGTAACATATGTATTTACGTTTTATAATTTCGAAATATGTCCAAATGTATCTGTGGATATACATATCTTTTTATTATTTATGTATAATGTAATACAAGTAATTATATTGATGCTTGACTTAAATAAAATTTATTAAAATAATAGAGTTCTATTTGGTGTATGGTTTGGTGATAACGTTTTCTTTCTAAGTAAAACTAACTCTATAGGTATTAAAACCACAGCCTCTACATATATACATTAATATTTAGTCAAAGAAAACTTTGACTTTGTATACTAGATGACGAAATTATTTTAGTTACAGTTCTTTGTACTTTTTAAAAAATCCACACCACCAGACTCACTGAAATGTATAATCATCGTCTAAACAAACTACTTGCATTGAACCTAGAACAGAGATATAAAATTCGAATTCGATTAGGGGAATCTGAGAGAGTTAAGTATAGAGCCTCTTTGTTTATGCCTCGTCCTTGGAAAATAATGACTACTTGATTTGCTCACACACTTCATAAGGTATCTCAATTGCAGAGCAGGCCTGTTATTTTATGTGAAATACTTATGAAGTAAAATGATTTTGAACAATGCAATTTTAAATATTGAACACAAGCAATAATTGTAATTTGATATTAATATTAACATTACTTTGGCAACATTATGCAATGATTATGTATTTAGATCAGGAACTACAAATGCGCATAGCAAATACAATGTTATTATGTTTAAGTATATGCTACAAAATTTGTCATTTGCCTATGTTTCTTAAGTCTTGCTCTCATTAGATACCTACATTAGGCAATCTGTAAAAATCTAACTATATCATTTAAAAAAAAAATTGAACTGATGACAGACAGGTGATTCAATTAGGAGCCTGTCCAGCCATCACTTAGATTTATAATAGAAATTTATTAATTTAGATATAAAATAAACATTAGGATAAACACTAAACATTAGAGAAACTAATTACTTATCTAAACATATTATATTGTCGACGTGGTAGTAAACTGAACTGAGCAATGGCACTGCACTAATAAAATATTTTAAAGTCCATTTCTCATGAGTAACATAAAAACAAATATAAATATATATTTATAACAGTGGTTTTACAATGCATACAATCCATTCAAATAGTGCTAGTATGTCCAGCTCACTTCACCATCAAGGCTATAAAATAATTGTTTTCCAACCTCTTTTTAAGGTCTGTTTTTACTTAAGCTTTGGATGCAATGTAGTATTTGTACTCAATAAAATACAAAACGAAAATAATATGTCATTATGAATCAATATAGAAAATACATAAGTCCTAAGAATAAATACTTAGATATTAATTTTATTTTTTGTCATTACTACTAAGGCTCCCGGTACCACATACGATGATACCTGAATTGTGTCGCGTTTTGCGGCACCCTTCTATACCTATACCCACTTCTTCTCCAGCAGCTACGGACGTTAAAGCAACTGTTTTATCAAAATCTATAGTTGTGTAACCAATAGCGGCAGCGGGCGCTAAAGCCGGTGCATTCGCAGCACTCGGTTTGTCCTTGCTGACTTGTGATACAAGTCGCCCGCGAGAGTGAAGGGCACCCCCTGTTTTAGTAATAGTATTTTCAGAACCTTTAAAATCTCTTGTTGTCTTCATGGTTTCTTTATTAGAATCAATATCTAACACAGCATAATTAACTTCAATTTCCTCTACTGGCGACATAGGAGCAATAGTGTCGAATTCAGAAAAAGGCTGCTTGTGCTCGGATGAAGAGAAACCTAATACGTGTTTTCCTTGCTTGACACTGTCTCCTAGTTCACCCAGTGATAAATTAGCATAGGTATTTACTTCTGCCTTATTGCCTACAGTTAAATTGCAGTATTCTATTGGTTTCGAACTTAAAGGAGTAGTTGGTACAGTGTCTATGGTAGTAACTTCTGGTACATTGGTGTCACTCGCTGCGATATTCATGTACAATCTAGCACATTCCTTTTGAAGCTGTGGTAGTTGTTGGTGTAGCTGTGGTTCCTGTTGGGATGGTGGTTGCTGAGATTGGTTTTCTAACAATTGTTGTTGCTTCTGTTGATCTTGCTGAATTTGTTGTTGTTCTTGAGGCTGATTTTCTTGTTGATGCTGCACTTGTTGCTGCTGTTGTAGTTGTTGTTGTTGTAGCTGTTGTTGTTGTAGCTGTTGTTGTTGTAGCTGTTGTTGTTGTAGCTGCTGTTGTAGCTGCTGTTGCTCCAAACTCAGTTGTGCATAATGTTCACTGGCTGTACTCAGAGTAGGTGAAAGAGGGTTGGTATTAATTTGCTTATTTGAAATATTCTCATTTATATACCTACTTTCAAGGAATCGTGTTTCATCTTCTATATCTCTCATAGTATTCAAGGCAGTTTCTTGACGCAATGTATTCCGCAGTATAGCTAAATCCCTGATCAAATCATTGGAGTAGACATGACGGGTGTCTACATGCAATTCATTGTGATTATTGTTATGTTCTCTTTTAATATGTCGCAGTTGATAAACATTGGTGACTTGATTGGTGGCATTTTGAGATCTTGGGTATAACGGCATTACTTCCAATATATCTGCACTAGATGGTGATCTTGGTGATTGAGTTGCATTCCTTGGCACCACTGCATCAGACGTTATATTCGGCAGATTGCTATTATTTACTGGCCTCATATTGTTCGGTTGGCCATTATCTATTGAAGAACGATGGACTACGCTGGCTTGTAACGTTTGCCTGCCTTGTGGTGTTGGAGTTAGTCTTGATACGGGATTTAAAACCATTGCGTTTCGTAATAGAATTTGCTGTTGTAATGTACGGAATAAGAGTGACGCTCTTCTACATTTAAATGCATATATCCCTTCTCCAGTTTCACATCTTCTGCCTGTAAGTAACATAACTATTTTCATATATTTCATTTATATGTTCATGAGTATTAATTTCACAGAGTTGCATCTTTGGACAAGTCGTATAAACTAAAATGACTGTATTTATTAGTACAGATACAGTACATTTTAAGTCTTAAAACCAGGCTATGAACCTTTCTATACGATACCTTAAACAAATTGGTTACTGTAAACAAGCACAAAATGTGCAGAGCAATAGCGCTGTGTAGCAAGCCTTTACAATGGTTTTCTTGTTACAAAAATTTGTGTTAACACTCAAATTCCACGGCACTAGGCCACGTTGTGTTGTGGGTTAAATAACTACACGTTCTGACATGTAGATTCGGATCAGTCGGCGTTGTCGATGCAAGTGGTAAAATGGCGAATAAATTTGTTTATATAATTCGTTTCATTATTTAAGTTGTTGATTATATAGTATGTTTAACTAAAAAGGCGATCTAAGCGAGGTCGTGAAAGCGGGATATGTATCGCGCAATGTCATGTGAAACCGCAAACAAAAAAAAAAAAAAAGCCTTGATAAAATTTATGAAAAATTAATAAAGCGAACAAGCATCGACATACGTGTAGGGCGGGTCCCTGTGGCTCAGCCCTTGCAAAAAACAAATACTTTCGTCAATCGAATTACATATGCCGTCTATACTAAATGTTTATATTAATTGTAAAAATAATTTGTAACTAGTCGGCATACGTTTAAATTTATTCTTAAATCAATTGAATCATTATTAAAAATTGTTACAAAACACCGTTTTCATTGTAAAACAAAGAAATACAAGCTGAAACTCATTAAGTCCCAAAAGTATCGAAAATTCTCATTTCAAAATCCTTAAAAAAGTCTTAAGATATATAAAAAAATCTTTTTGCGTCAGGTTAGTACAACTGTCAACGATTGGCGGTAAAAAATAACCTAACCTCTTTGAGTACTTTGTGACTAATTAACATTTATGACAAATAACTTTTGTGGTCGCGTCGTTTTTTACTATGGCCGATTTTGTTAAGCTTGTATTAAATTCTGTGTTGCAAATGAAATTTCTTGTGCTGAAACGCTTAAAATGTTACAAAACGCGTTCGCAAAAATTGTATGTCCAAAACTTAAGCATACGAGTGGTATAAGTCATTCAAAGAGCAACGTACAGTGGTCGAAGATTTACCACGGGCTGGAAGATTTACCATCCACTTGAACTGACGACGATCATGTCAATAAAATGATGTAATTTGAGTGAAGTAATTTGAAAATGATGCAAATTGTAATGCAAAATCGTCGTGTGAGTGTGAGAGAGATAGCCAGAGACATTAGCTTACCAAAAACTACAGTCAGCCAATATGCGGTGTATATTTCGACTCGACTCGTGCCAAAAGATTTTAATTTCATGCAAAAACAGCGCAGAATGGATGTTGCTAATGAGATTCTTTCTGAAGCACAAAACGATTCCACGTCTATGAAACGCATCATAACCGGTGATGACACATGAGTCTACGAGTGCGACATGTAAAACAGAGCAACAAGCATCCAAATGGGTCGTTTCAGGTGATCCGTAACCAAAAAGACGGCGTCAAACCAAGTCAAAAATCAAAACACATTTGACTGTTTTCATTGGTTCGGGGTGTGGGTCATCATGAGTTCCTTCCAACGTGCATGACAGACAACAAGGTGTATTACCTCGAAGTCATGAGGCGTTTGCGCGATGCTATTCGTCGCAAACGGCCAAATTTGTAGGTGGAAACCACATGGATTTTGCACCACGATAATGCGCCAGCTCACACAGCCATGATTATTCGTAGCCTTTTGGGCAAACATTCAACGAACACCGCTCCGCAGGCTGCAGGCACCGCAGGCGCTGCGGGTTCCAATCTAGTGCCTGTGTGGCGAGATACTCGGGGTCCCTACGCAGAGTGTGGCCGATATAGTTCTACTTGAGGCGCTTGATCTGGAGTTCGATCGGTGATTCGTGGCAGCGTGCCAACAGATCTTCATTGGAGATCTTCTCGGGCTATACCCCAAGAATTCGGACAAAGGCAGCGGTTAACGAAAACCTGGAGCCGGTTCGAGATGGCTTTTGTGACATTCCACGTTTCGCACCCATATATCAGTACTGATTTTACGTTGGGCCCGAATACTTTGATTTTAATCCTCCGAGTTAGTTTTCGTGACTGCCACTCGGGTCGGAGTTGTACGAAGGCAGCTCGGGCCTTGGGCCTCCTCTGTACCCCCTGTTTCCGACACGACGTTTCCGAGGTAGGTAAAATTGTGGACGCGTTCCACGTCCTTGGCATCAATCCGCAATGGTGTGCGAGTTTCTACACCAGATCGCATCTCCTGGGTCTTTCGGGTATTGATTTTAAGACCCGTGATACCTGCCTCTCGATGCAAGTCGTCTAATTTGGACTGCATATCGCGGTGCGCCTGACTCAGCAGGCAGAGGTCATGGGCATAGTTCAAGTCTTCTAGGACATTCATTATACCCCATTTTATACCACGTCGCTTGTTCTGATAGGCGCGATGATTAATCCTAATTGTCCTCCTCACTTTCCATGCCAGAGTAAAGGAAAGACACACCTTTGGGCGTTCTCAATTCACCGAAACCATTCCTACGCACTTCGCTGAGGCCTAGTATTTGCAGCTGGTATCTCAGCATTTCTGCTTCTACTTGGGCTAGGCGGCTGTCGTCGCTAAGTGTTCGCACATTGAAATAAGCAATTCGTGTCCGTTTCTTCATGCCAAAGGTCACTGTCAAATGATCGGTCCGGTTTCTTCTGTGTTCGTTTCTTTAATCAGAGTTGAGCACCTCAGAGCTTCCGGGCGTGCTCGGTTTTATTCGGGTATCCTCCCTAGTGATAAGCTTCTGTTTTAAGGCGCAGAATATTCGCCTTTCGCCCTACATCCTCAGCTCAGCTGCAATTCGAGGCAGTGGACACGCGGGAGCGTGGTTGCAGCAGGTCCCAGGGTGGACGACTAGGACGTGGACTTACCGGGGTTCTGCTACACTGGTGTTCAACTACTTAATACAGCGTGGCAGACCTCAATTACCGGTGTGGCAGAATAAGGTTAGTAGTGGCAGGAAAACCTAAGGTTACCAAAAACCCAGCTTCTAAACCGAGAAGAGCGGCTGCCGGTTTTAGAAGATAAGTAGATATGTATTGTTTACATATGGTATCTCAATGTAACGTTACAATGCCTGGGTGGATTACACGTAAGAATCACTTCCAATATGGGTATATATATATCTTCACTTATATTGCCATAATAATTGTCGATTTATCACTTTCTACCTTATTAAAACGAACTTATTTATTATTCTACTTTTTTTTTGTTTATGGCAAACTGTGCCGATGTCGTCAACTCTGCCTAAGTCTAATGTGTGATGAAGGTGCATGTGTGTTTGGAGAGCCGAAGAGGGACAAAACATAACCTCTGAAAGACATTATTCTACTTGACATACATTACAAATTTATTAGTTAGCTATTTGTCAAAATTGCGTTTCAGGCAAGATAGGTATATTCTTTTTTAAAACACTTTCGTTTCGTCTTCATTACTTACGATTTGGAACATAGGCTTTACACACAAGTAAGTTCACCCACGTTCCGTTGCTAATTTTAATATAATCATTTTTCTTTGCTGCTATAACGTGCACGCACCCCTGCGACCGATCAAAATAAAACACTTACCGGTCCATGGCTTACCGAGGAAATACGGCAGATTATGTCCAATAAATGTTTAGCGAAAAATAAGTACAAGCGCCGCCCCACGGATACTAACCTAGAAAAATGTGTCCCTCAGAAATTTCTGCAATAAGATGTCTAGAAGTGCACAACGCCAACACATCCATTCTTCCGTAGGCAACGGAGATCCAGCGAAAGTCTGGAAATTTCTAAGAATGGGATCTACTATCCATGCCTAGTCTGATACTATCCGTAATGTGAACCAGTCCAGAAGTTGTGCTGTGACCAGGACGAAAGCCGGATTGAAAGGGGTTCAGTAAAAAAATTTTGAAAAGGAAGCTACTCGGTTGAGAGTGGATGAGACGTAGTAGTAGATATATATATATATATATATATATATATATCTAGTTATTATCTCTTTTATATTAGTTAGCAATTAACCTGAAAAACTCATTTCACCGTCAACTACTACTGTCTCTCCGGAACATTTTGATCCATCCTAAGGTTGCCTGGAAGATGTACCATAGATTTTGTAAAACGGTGTACAAATGAAGAGTTCCATCTATCTATCTAGTGTGTAAAGATGTAAAGGGTGATATTCACCCGAGTCGAGATTATCTATACGCACGGGTTTCGTACAAAATTTTTCACCACAACTAGTGGATAGAGCGATATTACGCACTATCCGTACGGAGTGGTGAAAAATGGTTTTATTTATGAATCATTCATTTGCACGCTTTTATTCTAATCGCATATGGCTATTCTCTACCTGAATCCGTATGCCTTCATAAAACTTGTCCGAATAGCATAATTTTCAAAAAAAATACAAAATGGCATAATTTATTTGATAAAATAAAAAATCGAGAGCATCTCGAAGCACAATTGTATGCCCTTTTGAACTACTGAGTACGAAGGTTACAAAAGCATACATGATTCAATTGAATTAAAAATAAATTTTATTGTACGAACGCGATAAGTGAAAACAAATATCGGCCCAAATTTAAACGTATGCCGACTAGGTACAAATTATTTTTACAATTAATATAAACATTTAGTATACTTACACGGCATACACTATTCGATTGGCGATTTTTTTTAAATGCAAATGCGAGGACTGAGTTCAGTCACAGGGATCCGACCTACACGTATGTCGATGCTTGTCCGCTGGATTTATTTTTCAAAAATTTCATCCAGGCATGAATGACACATGTGATACGATTGATTAAAAATTTTTTTTTTTTTTTGCGATTTCACATGACACCGCTGTCACGATCTCGCTTACATCCATTTTTTAGTTAAACCTACTATATTGCAGGGCGTGATACGTGCGATACGTGATACGATTAATCGATAAAACTTGTCGCGAGCTGCCGATCTATTAGCACTGGAGCTGCGAGTGAGGAGTGTTTTGTGTGCTGTTACGGGTTTGCATCTGTCCAGTGTGAGTATTTGTAACAAAGAGTGTATCTAAGAGTCACAAATTTTTAAAGGCTCAAAGTATCGTCAAAATGTGGCTAGACATGAAATCGAAAGACGCCTTCAATGAACCTGCGTTCTTCTGGAAACAGATATTGATTGAATGTCGTTGCGTTGTACGACGTGGAAGTGGGTGCGAGGGGTATACCAGCTAAATCCCTCTATAACCTGCTTAAAGCCCTTGGATTGCCAAGAGCTGCAGTAAGCTCTGTTCTTCAACGAATATCAATAGCGGCATTGCTAGGCTCGTATCAAATACGGTTAGGTAGAGGGGCGACGGGACAGCCGCCAGAAGTTTTACATTAAGCAGAGCAACTGAGGGCGGTCAATGCCGAACACCGGCAACCGGACAGCCCGACCCGTAGACGCCGACTGGTCGGAAGCAGGGGCCTTTTCCTAGATAAGAGACTGGCCAAGAGGAGAAAACCTCTATAAAATATCATAAGGGCAGGGTGGCCTTGGCTCAATTGCCAAGGGTTGCCTTTCCACGCGTCGCAGAGGGCACGTGCGAGGGCTACGTCGGAGGACGACGTCTCATGGGGGCGACGGGTTTGTCGTGTGTGTGTGTGACGCATAGAGCAACTAAAAATTACCCCTAGGTTAACGGCTAGGGGGGTATCCCAGCCGCTGGGGCAACACAACGTTAGTTCCTGCGTGCGGTGGCAGGGGGAGTTGATCGTCAACCTGACGTGGGCGACTCCTTTGGTCATCAGCCGGGTGTCAGGATGGAGGGTGTCGGAGGAAGTGGTCACTTTGTCGGACCACCGCCAAATAGTGTTCGATGTGGACATCCGCCGACCGGGCGCAGGTTCAGACCGTCGCAGTAGCTGCCCTCCGCGACGATGCGCCCTCAAGCAATGAATCGAGATATTCTCGTCTCTCCAGAAAGAGACCACCAAGAGAAAGGGGCCCCGGGCCCCTAGAGAGTGGGGACCTCTGGTGGCAGATTCATTGCTGCGGTAGGGGATAGTATGGCAGCCTGATTGCATTAAAATGCAATCGGATAGCCCACATAAACAGCTTCCATCGATTTCAAAGCGGCTAGACCAAATGGCGATGTCTGCATTGAATAACCCATCATTAGGATTCTTATCATATATTTATAGGTCGTTTTGTTGCAAGCGTGTCTAGCACTATATACGAGTACATCTCCAAGCATGGTAAGATTAAGACAAAAATGCGAATTCCTTTAAGTCAATCAGTCTAACATCCTTTATCCTTGAGACTTAGGAGAGATTTTGTGATAGATATACAGCTTAAAAACACACCACTTAAAAGCAATTAGCACACTTATAGCTTAGGGGATATACCCATACTACGGGATCCATTTTTTACTGACTTCCCCTCATCCCCACGGTGACCTCCCGTAGTATGTGCCCAGATTCCCCCCCTCTGGTTTTCACGTACTTCATAAATATGGTTTATGGTTAACAAAAATTATGTGGCTATTAATTATGCCATATTTGATATTGAATACATGACAAGCCTAACCATCCTTTTTTTTCCACCCCTATCACCGCATCCATACGTATCCAGCTCAGTATTTTGAAGAACCCTTCTCACCCCCTCAATGGGTCACGTAGTAGGGGTACATTCAATTAGGTAATTCTATAGAGTCGTCTCTAGAATTGTCAGGTCATAGGACAAATAAGGGCAACTGTACATAATGGAATATTTGTCTTGAAACCTTCATTAATATAAAGGGAGCATTCGGCAGACTCCATTTTACTATCATTCGAGGCATAAGGTGCAACAGCTGCTTATAGACTGGGCTACCAATATGCTCAGCATATGGATAGTACAGTTCGCAAGTGAGTCACAAATCACACTATACACATATATATACATGTACTGTCACTGATCATTTAGAACATGATAACTACGCTGATATGATCTTAATATAACTAATAATAATATTGAAGTCATGGGTTTGGCACTGGAGAACAGCACTTCGCTATCCTACTGCATAGCGAAGTGTTGTTCTCCATTGGATTGGGTGGGAGGATGTTGGCACACTTCGGTAAACGATGTACTAATAAAGATCAAGCCGGGTATATTTAAAAGGTCTGAATCTTTTGTGGTAATATTAGAAATTTCACTTGAATCACTCATTCAAGACTGAACTGAATTTCTCTATTGAATCTGAAATTCTTATAGTTGACTCTCGATTGAGGTGTACGTAACTATTTTCTGGCCATATTATTTTTCAACAAGCAACACTTGATATTGACATAAAAGTAACCAACTACGAAAATTTCAGAGGCTAACATGCATGAAAGCATTATTCAAAAATATACAGATTATCCAGTTTGTTTTTACAAGTATACAGAATCCAGTTACACAACAATCTTAACTGATGTGGTTCAATTTAAAGTATGGCACAGGCCTTGCATACAGCGCTGAAACAGTGTCAAATTTCAAACTAAGTTCCTTTGAAATTTGACGCTACAGCTTTGTCACAGGGTCAAATTTCAAACAAGTTAGTTTCCTTAGAGATAGCACAGCTGAGATACCACAGAATAGCACTTCTGATCAGCTTAAATATAAAACAGGGGCAGGTACAGGGCAGTTTACTATATGTAATTTACACACTGTTATAATGAAATGAAGTATTTTCATACCTGATTCAAAGCTGAACATGCCTTCTTCGAATCCATAACGTCTTAATGAATGTAATGGCCATATAGTTGAATCTCTGCCTTCACGGTACAGTATTAAATCATTTTCTGTAATCTCTAACTGACCAGCACATAAAGATGCACCATTCTCATCGAGGTTTATGACTCGAAAAACATTAGGATGAAGATCTGAAGTTTCCCTTTTACTTTGTAAACACCCCATTACATTTCAAGTGGTGCTCTCAGTGATTTTGGCCGATGTAAATAAATAAAAACTGAGAAGTTACCAGCTCACGACTTCGTAAACAATCTCCCTAAAACAAAACATTAGGTTTGATAACATTGGCGTTGCTAATAAACTCTTAAAAATAAATACGGCAAAACATTACAAACATTCAAAGTAAGCTTTATAAAGGAATGATTAAGTCTCATTAATAATTTACGCAAATTTCTGCCGCACCTCTGACACTGTAATCCATATTGACTGATAATGCCTAGACGTTTATAATCTGTCCCTTGGTTTGGTTGATTTGCTTTTTGACAGTTGATTGAAACAACTGTACCGGAGATAATTCTAACACGCTCCTAGAAATGCACTTTGATTGTCTATTTCTATTTATTCATACTATTTGTATAGTATAATGATACTGTAGACATATTATTTCGTGAAATATAAAGAAAAGAATACAACGAAGTGAGAACCGCCTCTTTTTTTAAAGTTCAATCGACAAACATACAACGTAATGTGCCTTTCCTTTCTGACCCTTGTTGTAACTCAGATAACATCATGAAATTTTGATTTGGTGGCAATGGTATCAACATTGGAGCATACCATTCCAAACAAAGAAAAAACGATCTGTATAAAACAGAAATATTGGTCAACACGTACCTCCATAAAAATGCAGAAGAACATCAAAACTTCCCTTTTTTTGAAGCAGTTAAAAAACTCGGGCTGTAAACATCTAGTGCTACTGAAACTCTGCGTTACTATAGAGGTCAATCGAGTTAACAATTTCAATACTCCTTTTTAATTCATTTTTAGCTAGTTCTTAAAATTACTTATTATCAGTATTTTCTTGAATTTATGTATACCATCTCTGCTTTTAATCTCCAGGAAGACTACATTTCATAAGTGTTGTCAAAAACATAATATATTTCTAAATGTGAGTGCTTTCACATGTCCTTTACTAAAAAAAATCGGTTGTCTGTAAAGTTGGTTTACTGATGATAGTTGAACGTGACAACGTCATAAGAAAATACTGATGGAATGGTTGCATTTTTCAAAAATGTATTATTGTATACGAGTAGTAGCTGTCCACGCGGACGCATCGCTCACTCAAGTTCCTACTTGAGAGAGACAGATGTCGAACGCTGCCGAACGCGGAGGCCGATTGTGCCTCTTTGTCACTCGTTCCGCGCTCTCGCTTGCACTTCACGCCTTAAATGGAACGCCTCAGAGCGAGGTAACGCCGCATGAGTCATGTTTTTTCGTGCGTGCAGCCGGCTCCATCGAATTATGAGACGTTGTCACCTCAAAAGTTAATTAATAACTTTTAAAAAGGTGTCACCACCTTCAATGCGCCTACATTATATTTCATTCCTTAATTTTCCACCCCTAAGGGATTAATTTTTTCTTTACATTATTTTGTTTTCTGGATTTCCTGTAATCTGTTAGAGTTGTGAAAAGGGACGGAAGTGTGTAATAAGAAGTCGGGAAGCTCGCGCTATTTGATGTGACAAAATAAGCACACGAAAATTATTACAAACAACAGTTTTTGTTTTGCCCATTAAAAACACCATATAATAAGAAAATCTAATAAGACTTATACGTCCCATACTAATTTCAAATAAATCAAGCGTGTTACTGTGTGACGTAACTTTGATTATAAATGAATCTACTAGATACCAATACCGATCATCTTTTTCCTGGTAGATTAGTGATTCTCGCCTCATACCTACATCTCGACATCATGTTCTTAACACTTACATAAGGCCCTCCCTACTTTATTGTACTTAGGTAGATGACAGTTGACTTAGTTGACATTGCATTTAAATTCACTATCAGCTGTTCTGGGATTTAAATAATCACTTTTTCTCGTTAAACTGTGACTATATCTATTCATTATTTTTAAGCCTATATAGTGAAGTTTTATAATGTCATTTCAATGCAATCTTTATAAAGTTCTTAGAATCAGAGTTACAAGACAAGCTACTTAAAGAGGATTAACACAATAATGAAAACACAATGATTATTACACTTGTGGCCAATGTTATTAATATATTTGCCACGACTCTTCAAAATGTTTTATTATTGGCATCGTTTACGGGCCAATTAATTGTTTCAACAGTAACGTGGATTTCGTCTGTAATATTCAACATACTTCAAACCGTTGCTTCCTTTTTTCAAATAGTATACGAAGATAATATAACAATATTTACCGAAGATATACCGACATCCGTGTACGGATTATTTGAAGCAATTCAAAGTCAGTTTGTTCATATGCACAATGGAATTTCTGATGTCTACCAAACAACATATATCAAAGTTTGTGGTGGTCTAAGTACTGTGAGCTGGTTGATTAAAGTATTGCTTATGATGTGTAATAATGTATTATCTGCATTCAAGAGTACTATGATTTTTGCAGGAGATACTATGTGGCTTATAATCACATTCATACCAGTACATCTTCCACAGCTTCTGAGGGCATCATTTAAATCTATTGGAACTGTAGTAATTGGCATAGTGATAGATGGCTATATGTTATTACTAAAGTTTACAAATTATTTAACTGAAGTGCCTTTACAGTCTTTAATGGGAATTACAAGTGCTATAGTGATAGTGCGTTTATGTATACATTTTAAAGAAACAATATCAACTCAAATCACACTATTTTATTGGTCTCTTGTGCGAAATATTTTGTATCTCTACTATGTTATTTTCAATTATTTTTCTAACCCTGAAATTGCAATTATACCTCGAATTGTTAGTGGTGAAGATGTCATGGCCAGAGAAGTAAGTCTTAGTGCCCATGAAGTAGATGAGATTGCTAATGCTGCTGATGCTCTATGTGTCATATGTCAAGAGCAGCAAAAATGTGTACTGACTCTCCCATGTCGTCACATTTGTTTATGTGCTGACTGTTGTAGACGCTTATATGGATATCAGCGTACATGCCCAATTTGTAGAACATTTATCTACCATTCTGTGACAGTTTATTTGTGACACACAGGGTTTTGATATTATTGCTTTCATTCCTAAAGGTTTAGGTCTTCTATTTGGTAACATATTTATAAAACATGTAAAAATGTAGAAATGCTGATGCAGTATGTCGATCATTCCTTTTTATAATAACTATGCAGTTTGTTTATGTAAAAGACATCCATGACAGAAATACATTTATAGATCTTTTATATCCTATTAAGTTGATAAGCCATAGTGCAAAAGTAAAAAGATCTGTTAAAACTGTTATAAGTGTATAGTACTTACTATTATAAATGTAAATAAAAATTATACTTTACATTATTACCTTCCTCAGTAAAAAAGAATATAAATTTAAACATTAAAGACATTTTAGTACTAATGGCAATTAAATTAATTAGAAGGCCCCAACTTGTTTTGTTAAGACTTAACTTTATTTTTATATCCTCAACCTGAAATTGATATATATTATTTTAGACAGTCAACATTTTTTTTTACCAATGACCAAGTCACAAATTATTGATAATGTATTTCCTAAAATGGTTATTATTATTAGTCTTCCATTAGATGGCTGTCATGTTACAGGCACTTAATTGCTATGGAAAATCAAGTCATTCTAGAAGCTTCCAAATTTTAGTGACCAGGTGTTATTAACTTTCTTTATTACATTGAATCTGTAAATTCTGTGTTAAATTTATTTTGTAATACCTATTATACTAATGTAATAAAACTGATTCTACTTATCAATTTTTAAAAATTATTTTGTGTTGGATAGATTATTAATTAAACAAGGTTATTATAGTCTGTGGAACATCACATACATGATACACACAACCCATAAAACCAGAGCAGTGCCTGTAAACAGATAACTGTAGTGAACAGCTAAATAAACTTATAAGTTTGGTTTAAATAAGCATACCACTTATATTAGGTATTTCACATATATTCCAGATTTTGGATTTAAAAGAAAAACCAAAACTACTGTGTATTTACTTTGTAATACCGCAATAAATGAAGATAAAGAGCGAAAAGAGACAACCTTATTTGATTGAGAATGAGTACCTAATGATTTTTTTTTTAGGGGAACAAAATAACTTTACCCATAGACACATGCTGATGAACTTTAACTCTCTCTCCCAGAATCAGTAAATCCTTTAATAGTTTTTATATTATATATATAACATATTTAGGCATATAGCCGATTTCAGCTAAAATTCATGGTTTGTCTTGATTGTATGTTTTTTTTTCTGGTAAATAGGATCATATTCAATTGCCTATACGGTTGATAAAGCAAGGAATACACATAATGTTATGTATTTATAACTGCTTAAAATTTACACTAAGCAAAGACTACATTACGTGACTTTACATTGCGTGCATTTCTTTTTGCTATACAATAAATAATACATTATAAAAACATATGTATTGTTTGTTTTCCTATCTAATTACTTTTGTCTTAACTTAGGAATTCACTACTCTTTCAAATAGACCAGGTTTTTAGGTGTTCTATATTAAAACAATCAACTCACTTATTTTTACGGAAGTTGTTCTGCTGTTTCCTATCTTACTTGTGACTTATTCATAAGCGATGTATCGGTCAGTGTAGACGCAATGTTATGCAAAGCAAGGCATGTCTCCAAGCGTTTATTGCGGTAAGCCTTTTAAATTATAAATAACAGCCTTTTAAATTATAAGTTATCCTTACAGTCCTTGAAGCAGTTTGATTACTGTGTCAAAATTTAATCTTCACGAACCAACTTAACATTTTTATATATATACAATTAATTACAAGCTTTCCAAAATATTGGTTCCCTAACATTTATATGTAGAAGGAAGATTTAGTACATTTCTTCTAAGCCTAACATTTAGTTTTAGGTCTTTAAGAGAAATTTGGACTTCTTTAGCTGCATTTAACATAAATACTGCACTAATGACTGCTATAAAACCACATATACATCCTACAATATCAGGAGGGTTCATATTGTCCCATTCTCTAAAGAGAATACCTGATGCAATTATAACAAGTATTGTGAACATCACATAGTAAACAGGAGTAACAATATTTGTATTAAAAATATCTAATGACTTATTTAAATAAATCATTTGTATCATGATACAAATAACAGAAGTTATAAAAAGTAACCAAAATAGATAATTTGAAAAGTTATTACTTTTTCCTGAAAATGTTTCTCTTACACCTAAGGCAATACCTTTACAAAATACAACAGTTAAACTCCCTATAGAAGAACACAACAACAAGTACACAGTGATGTTAGTGTTACCAAACCTAGGTATAAAAAACAATTTTAACATTAAACTCATAAAAAATATTGTCCCAATGTAACTTATAAACATATAATCAAATAACTTTTGGGCTAACTCATTAAATGTTTTGATCTCTTCAGCCTTTGGTGAGTGTATTACAAATATTACTGATCCAACAATACAAAGGAAACACCCAATCTGCAAATACAGAACTTCATATGAAAAATGGGAAATGTTACATTTAAACAACAGTAAAATAACTAACAAATATACCTTTCCAATTAAATTAAGTTTCTCATTAAGAAACTTTGAAGATAATACTGCTGCAACTAATACACTAAGAGCACCTAATGGAGTTACTAAAGCAGCAGGTGCAAATGCATATGCCAGTAAATTAGCAGCTTCACCAATGCCCACTGGAAAAAAAGATTTTTCAACATTCCATTATCACTATCACTAACAATATAAGGAAGTAACAAACTTAACAATATTTACACTATCATAATCAAGTAAAGGAAAGTATAAACATGGGATACATCATCATGATCATTAATATTCTTTAATAGCCCGCTATTGGACATAGGCCTCTCATTAGAAAGGAGGTTTTGGCCTACTATACCACCATGGCTGGATGGGTTGGTAAAGGGTTAGTTCCAAGTTTGCCTTCTTTTTACAGGGCTGTGCAGAATAGATACAATTAGAATATTCTCCTTTAGACTTTATTATTGGGATATTTTATAGTTATTTATGAAAAAGTGGGTTAACCAAAAAACAATATGAAAACAATATGTAAATTTATCTGCATACTTACTAGTCAGAAGGCCTAACCACCACATCCATTGTTTAAGATAAGCAAATCCACCTGCGGAAGCTCGTAGATTTCCAGAAGAATGTAATCTTTTCAAGGCAACTTTTTTAATTATGAAACTAGAGCCAATAAAAATACTAGACGATATAGCAAGGCCTAATCCAATAAAAAAATGAGTGTTATCATAGTTTCGACCATCAGCAGTTAACTGCGAGTCTTTCATCTTTATTTTTTTTTATTCTGAACTCAATATTCCCAATTAAACCATAATTAAAAACCCAACACATAAATACATGAAATTCATGTAGCCACTGTAGCCAGCATAAACATTTACACAGGCATAGGTACTTATTTGTTTATATAAAAAATGACAAATATTATGTGTCACTAGAGGTGGACAAAAATAGTAATTATTATTTACTATTTTTGTCCACATTTGTTTGTACTAAATAATAAGTTAGTTTTGTCGATTTTGTTTTGTAGGTACTAAAACGAATATGATAAAACACAACAATATTTTAATAACGAAAATTTTTGTGAGACATGAAGACTTTGAAAAAAAACATCTAAGGTTTATTTTATTTCCCAAGTACAAACAGTTTTTTTTTCAAAAACATACTGTTTTTGAATTTTAGTTGATAAAATCACAATTAATTTGAAAATCGAATGTGTATACATATTTCTGTAACGCACTTTCCATTACATTACTAGTGGTAACAAAGACTCGTAACACATACTAGCTGTAGCTAGCATACGTTAGCATACATTAGTACTGACCAAGTTTGTGACCCGTACCACGTCCGTGTTCTTGACAATTTAAAATAGTTTTATATCAAAATATATCAGAAATGACTTCCAGTACAATGATATGGTGTGGCAAGTCAGCAAAGACATCCAGTTATCGAAAAGATGGTATAACATTTCATCGGTAAGTAAATTATATTCTAATCACGTTAACCTATTTCAAATGCACCGGAGTTGAACTTATAATGCTACAAAGTAATAACACTTAAGCACCCATTAATGTCTTTTTGAAATTTAATATCCCTTTGACTCATTACGTAAAATACAATAGTTGTCTTGGTCTAATGACAGCATGTGTATCGATAGTGTTGGGATTTATAGGTCGATATTTGTCTGGTCATCCTTTATTCTTTTTTATAAAGGGATTACTTTGTAAAATAGTGGCGTACCGTTGTGGTATATGTTATTGGTTTCATATATGCCCCAAAAGAAAAAGATATAGATCGAAGCAACTTGTCAAGGGGACAATTGGTTTTCTACCAAAATGGTGTGATATGCTCAAGACACTTCACAGAATACAATCTTCGTATTATGAAAAACCATAGAAGGCTGTTGGAAGACAAGGAAGACAGATCCTAAGGATTCTGTAAGTATGGTTTGGTGCATTTTATGTTTGACTTTGAAATATGCAATCACAGCACATTTGACACGTCCTCCACAACCCATGCATACAGCCAAATTTGGTGAAATTGAATCGGAACAAATATTCAATAATACGGAATCTATTAGGGGTAATCTGTGGTCCGTTATTAACGATTGGCTCGAGAGGCGTCACAGAACCATTTAAACCATTTATACCATTTTTAAACCATTTATTTTTACTACACAAGAAACATAGAACCCTCTCATACCGGCTGACGCAGGTGATCACCGGGAAAGGATGTTTCGGTGATCACTTGTGTCTGATCCGCAAGGAGCCAACGCCTGAGTGCCACCACTGCGATGGCCGTACTGTGGACACGGCCCTCCAAACGCCAGCAAGGTAGTCATCGGAGTCGGAGTCCTCTCGCTCGGTAGTATGATTGCCGTCATGGTACGGAACGGGAATGCGTGGAACTGCGCTGTCTCCTTCTGCGAGCAAGTTATGCTTGCCAAGTAGATGGCGGAGCAGGACCGGGAGAGGTTTAGAACTCTCCCGGCCCACTAGGCCCGGGAACGGGCCAGGTACCGCAGACCACTCAGGCGCCGGTCATGAAATATTGTCTAGAAAGAATATATTTTTATAAAAATATTAAAATTCTATGTTCGGCTATGTTGAGGGCAAACGAGGTAAACCCTCAGAAATTAAGAGCACTTGTAACATTTTTATTAATTTTTCTTCTCTCTCCATCCGCTTGATGTTAGTCGATTTTATGTGTATTGGTCTTTTGATAGTTGCAATGAAAGCAACTCTGTTTCTGTCAAAAAAAAAACTGTCCGAAAGTAAATGATTTTATCAGGGGAAATGAAAATAGTACTTTACCTTGCAGCACAGAGTACTTTGTAATATACTGCCTTGCAGCCTATAAGAGACGCACTGGTCATCATTGAACTCATAATTTTAAAGTGAAAAGGATAGTAAAATCAAAATAACACTTAACAATTGATGTATAAACACATTACATTAAGTAAATGTATTAAGCAATACAAAAATTCCTTCCAGCAATATTTATGACAAACGTATATTTTATTTTGTAACTCCAAACAAACAGTTTTGATTTAAACTTATTTATAGCTGTGACTTTTATTTTTATTAACTTAACAATAAATTTAATCAAACTGATGACGTTTAAGAGACACAGCAAGTCATAGGTATCCGAATGATACGTAATGACAGGAGAAGCTCATGATATCGTTACAAATGTGGCGCAGAATCTTGAAGATAGAAAAAGATGTTCTTCAAGATTCTGCGCCTGCGCGCTGTGTGTTCCTGGATTTAAGTAAGGCTTTTGATACTATATCAATGCTTGTACTGATTCGCAAACTAGAGTCAATGCGCATTAAAGGTGTACTCCTCGACCTTTTCAAGAATAACCTTTTTAATTGAACGCAAACATTAAAAATAGGAGATGGTTAAGTATAGTTCTAAACCAAATGTTAATTTCAGTGTTCCACAGGGATCTGTGTTGGGGCCTACATTATTTCTTATATTTATGAACAATCTATGCCACATTCAAATACCTAATATGAAAACTATTTCAACACTCGTCATGGACGTGAGTCGTGAGAACGTCAAGTGAAGACAGTAGATGAGATAGGAATTAAATCAATAATAACTGGCTTGACTGGACTGCAATCTATTAACTTGAAATTAGACTTGCAACGAATAGTATATTCGGCAGTATACCGAATACCGAATATTCGGCGAGGCCCCTGACCGAATAGCCGAATATTAGGCAAAAGTATTCGGCTGGATTTTAGCGCCAAAAACTTGTACAGACGTGAATTAAATTATGTACCTGTTTTATGTACCAATGACTACTTAATAAATGATTATAAAAGAAATGAGAACCTTACCCTTCTAAATTTTGATTACCACAATAATTCAAATACATAGAATCCTCCATTTTTCCAATTCAGAAGATGATTATGTACCTGTGTTATGCACCAATGACTACTTAAATGATTATAACAGAACTGAAAATATGAATATATACGTAATCAATCGATTTTAATTTTTCATTTTACCAATTATTTCTCAATGACAAAATATATTATTTAAGTATTCGGTATTCGGCCGAATAATATGTAGATATTCGGTATTCGGCCGAATATAATAAAAGCAGCCGAATATGCCGAATACCGAATAGTAACCGAATATTCGTTGCAAGTCTACTTGAAATCTAAACTAAACAAGATATAACAGTTTTAGTATAAAATAATTTACAACCTTCACCTATTTCATGCTGCAGGTGCAGGAAACATGTGCTGCAAGTTGGTCTGCTTCTACAGGCTATTACGACTATAGATGTAAGGCCGGTTTCAAACCAATTAAACCAATCCGTTTAAAAGTAAAAAAAAACGTTTAAAATCGAAATTTTGAGAGGCAACCTAGTAGATATAAAATCTTCTAATCATAAATATGCGTAAAAACTGGGTTTATAGCACATAGGTACTCGATGAGTACACTGATTCTGCAGCCGGATCTTAGAGTAATAGGTAATGCATGCGAAAGGCTCAAACTGCACTAATGAGAAAGAGTATTTTTTTGCATGCTACCTAGAATTTACAACAAAATACCTGGGGTCATAAGAGAACTCCATCTACATTTATTTTAAAATTCAGTTCAAAAAATATCAAATTATGTAATGTTTTTACATTTTTACAGTGACATTTCCATACTATCTATAATTTATTTTATTATCTCTACTTCTGACTGCGAGAATCCCAAAATTGATCTAAGTGGCGTGCAATGGGAGAGGCCTATGTCCAGCACTGGACTGCGATAGGCTGATGATGACGATGATGATAATGATGATTTGACCACTTAATTATTGTTATTATAATTTCCTGATATTTGATCTGATCGAGAAAAAAAACACGGAAATCAGAGTTTTTTAAATAACTCAAAGACTAGGTAGTAGAAGATCTTTTTTATGAAAACAAGCAAAGTCTACGTATGAGAGGTTGTCTCCTACCGAAGGTGCAGCTAACCAACTACAAAAAGTAAGCAAGTCTTTTCGTTGTCAGGGTGTGCGATTTTACAATAAAGTGCCAAGCAAATTCCATGAATTAAGTATTAACAAATTTAAGTCTTTAGTAAAGCTAAAACTGTGTGAAAAGGCTTACTACACTATTACAGATTATTTAGGCGACAAATTTGCTTGGAATTGATGCTGCTCACTCCCACATTTAGACATCTTTGTTGTTAAGTTTGAAAGTGATGGACATTTAATTTTTATTTTGTTGGTGTATTTCATATTTTGTTTGCTTTAATTTGTTTATTTTTCGTTGAATTTGAATTGTATAGTATTTTATTTTATTTTTTGTGTAAGTATGTAAATGTGAGTTTAGTGTAGGCTTGTAATGTTAATTCATATTTTATTATCTTTCTGGTGGTTTTGAGTGTTTCCACGGCCTACCCAAATGTCCTGCTGGCGGTAGTGTCATGCTACGGGTCGTTGATCTTGACCAATATCGGTTAGGCTACACAATGGCTGGAGCCTGTATGCCGTCTGTATGGACAGGCTGACTCAAAACTATGGTCCTTTCCTCAAAAGGCCTACCCAGACCCTATACTGTACTCGCACAGTTTTATTTAAATTTGTTTACGGACTTAAAAAAAAAGACACCTCTGTGGTTTGTTTCGGCGTTTCTTCCCAGAGTGAGTCTTAGGAAATGCCGGCTCTTTCTAGCTATAAAGTCCGACTTGTAAAAATATCTGAAAAGATTTACTTACAGAAATAAATATCATTTATTTATCATATTCCAAGAGTGTTT